TTTTTTTTTTTTTGAGACGGAGTTTCGCTCTTGTTACCCAGGCTGGAGTGCAATGGCGCAATCTCGGCTCACCGCAGCCTCCACCTCCTGGGTTCAGGCAATTCTCCTGCCTCAGCCTCCTGAGTAGCTGGGATTACAGGCATGCGCCACCATGCCCAGCTAATTTTTTGTATTTTTAGTAGAGATGGGGTTTCACTGTGTTGACCAGGATGGTCTCGATCTCTTGACCTCGTGATCCACCCGCCTCGGCCTCCCAAAGTGCTGGGATTACAGGCTTGAGCCACTGCGCCCGGCCTAAGTTTTGATGCAAGTTGGGAAATTCCCTCTAGAAAGCTATGTCAACTAACAGGCAAAAAAAAAAAAAAAAAAAAAAAAAAAAAAAAAATCTCATTGTATTTCTATCTGGCCTTCCATTTTTCCCTGGAGTCAGCGTTCTCCCCAGTTGAGAAACTTTGCCTATGTCAGTTTGTAAGTGGTCAGTCTGAGGGACTCAGGGACTCGAGGCCTTTGGGAAATGAGGCAGCAGGACAGTTAGGGGCATTATGGGCCAGGGATCAGGGTCCTGCCCCAACCTGATCACCAGCTGGCTAGATGACCTTGAGTGGGTCACTTACACCACAACCTCTTTGGGCCTCAGTTTCCTAATTTTCCTGCGAGAGGTCCACGGGATGCCCTTCCAGGCCCTCAGAAAGCTGTGGCTCCAAAGGTCAGATCACCTTCGGTGCAGCTGGGTTTCCAAGCCAGACCTGATTATTCAGGATTACAATCAGAGAATATTTGGTCCAAAATAATCCTCACCCCTAAGCAACAGAGGCCTTAGTGGGCCTGCGTTCTCAGCAGGACTCGCCATTCTGATCTCAGCCAAATGCAGTCTCCTTAGACCCAGTCAAACCAGCAGCCTCCCATCATTTGGTTGATTTTGTTCACAGTACCCATGACTCTCAGAAATGGTTATTTGTTATCTGGGTGACGTTTGTCTCCCCGAGAGAACGTGAACTTCAGGAGCCTGGGGGCCTTGGCAGTCAGGCTTGCTGTGTACCCCGTATCCCATGCCAGGCACAGTGCTGGGCACAGCCCAGATGGTCAGCAACTACTCACTGGGCGAATCATGGGGAAGGGATTATTTCTGTATTTGTTTCTTCTTTCAGTGAAAATATCTAAATATTAAAGGTAGCCCTGGACTGGAAGGCTGCATAGCAGATTCTTACCCCACGTTGTTTTAAATCTGTATTTATTCATGTGGCAGAAAATTCGAGGTCTCTGGATCAGAGGACAGACGAATTATTTATTCACACAGTAATCTCTGAGAGCTGGCTCCCCATGGCCCATTTCCTCACAGGCAATATGGAAGGGGCCAAGTGCACCCCGAGTGTACAGGGGGCCTGTGGCAGGAGGGGAGCCCCAACATTGTGACTCTTGGAGCCTATAGGCAATAACATGCCAGCTGCCTCCCAGGGGCAGGGGGTGCGAGGCGGACGTCCCTGAGTCTCCCTGGCAGTCTCTGTCTTTAACTTCCAAGTCTCGTTCTTTTTTTTTTCTTTTTTTAAAGATGGGGTTTATCCCAGGTGCCAGCAGTCTTTGCTGAGACGCCCTGACCACGGGCAAGCATGAAAATATTCATGAAGCATCACTTCCTAACACCCATCTCCTGAATTGAAAAGTAACAGCTAGGCCGGGCGCGGTGGCTCAAGCCTGTAATCCCAGCACTTTGGGAGGCCGAGGCGGGTGGATCACGAGGTCAAGAGATCGAGACCATCCTGGTCAACATGGTGAAACCCCGTCTCTACTAAAAATAGAAAAAATCAGCTGGGCATGGTGGCGCGTGCCTGTAGTCCCAGCTGCTCAGGAGGCTGAGGCAGGAGAATTGCCTGAACCCAGGAGGCGGAGGTTGCGGTGAGCCGAGATCGCGCCATTGCACTCCAGCCTGGGTAACAAGAGCGAAACTCCGTCTCAAAAAAAAAAAAAGAAAAAAGAAAAAAAAAAAGAAAAGTAACAGCCATCACCTTTGAGCGTCAGCTATGTGGTGTGAGCCGGTCACGAAGTGTCCCATTATCCTCTTTCAGCAAGTAGGAAGCTGACACTCAGAGAGTGAGACACTGCCTGCAGAGGAGCCAGTAAGGAAGGGAGGAGCTGAGGTGAGACCTAGATTTGTGAACGCCCCAAGCCCATGTTCTCCTCTACCACCTGGCTTCCCCAAAGTCTGGTCAAGTTGGTTTGAACAGAGTTGATGAATTGTGGTAAAGTGTTTGGAAAAGGGTAGGCTTCGGCTGGTCTCAGTGGCTCATGCCTGTAATCCCAGCACTTTGGGAGGCCAAGGTGGGCAGATCACGAGGTCAGGAGATCGAGACCATTCTGGCTAACACGGTGAAACCCCGTTGCTACTAAAAATACAAAAAAAAAAAAAAATTGGCTGGGCGTGGTGGCACACGCCTGTAGTCCCAGCTACCGGGAAGGCTGAGGCAGTTGAATCACTTAAACCCGGAAGGCAGAGGTTCCAGTGATCTGAGATCATGTCACTACACTCCAGCCTGGGCGACAGAGCAAAACTCCCCCTCAAAAAAAAAAAAAAAAAGAAAGAAAAGAAAAAGAGAAGCCTTCTATTTATTCAACATCTACTATGTGCCAGGCATCGTTCTAGGCAGGGAAGAATGGGAGAGACGTGGTCTTCATTCTCATGAGACCCACCCGTGAGCTAAGAGGCAGACGTTAAACAAAGAATCACCCAGAGAGAAGTGTCCTTGTGATAACAAGGGTGGCAAGTGAGGGAAGGTGAGAAGTGCAGGCTGGGGTTGTCCTCAGAGACTTCCCTGGGGAGGGAACACCCCACCGTGGCCCTGAGGCTGAGCTGAAAGGTTCGTCCAGGCAAGGTGTGGGAGAAGGTGTTCTGAATGGAGGAGGTGCACATGTGTGGGGAGGTGCAAGCTGGGAAGGTTACCTGGGAGGAAGGCAGGGCGCAGACCTTGGGAGGCCCTATTGGCCCTGGAAAGGAGACTGTTCTTTATCCTCGGAGCACCGGGGAGCCACTGCAGGTCTGGAGCAGGAGAAGGGGTGGGATTCACTGTGGCGACTTCTCGTTCATGCTGGTAGCCAGATGTTCTTGTTAAAGCAAAGCCCGTTTCTGCTCTTTCCTAGAGACTGGGGAAGAAAGGGTGAAGGACTAGAGGGAGAACACATTCAGGGAAATGCAGATTGCGTAGAATTAGGTTTATGGGTTTTTTGGCGACAGGGGCAGTAACCCAGCAAGTCACGGCCGCCGGGGAAATGGCTTAGTGATTTTTCTGCATCTCTTCCATGTTCGCCTGGCTGTCAGCCTGGGGTGCCCTTTGGAAGGTTTCAAATGTGTGCTTCAGGCCCACTTGCTAGACCCCCGGGCAGTCAGTAGGAGGGTAAGCAGGCAGCTTCCAGAGAAACTGCCAAACTCACTGCCACCACACCCCTAGGAACCAGCTCCATGCGGGGCCACAGTCATAGCAAACAATCTTAATATTTACCAAGTATTTCTGGAAAATGAGTGCAAAGTGCAGGAAACGCAGTGCAAATTGCTGGAACGCAGTACATTAGCAACACAGGACATTTAATGAGTCTGGGAAGAGAGGTATGAATTTCAGGAAAATGTCAATTGCCACAGTGTAAACAAGAGACTTCTCAATATCTCATTCTCCATAGGACTTCATTTCAGTCTTTGGTTATAACTAGCGCTGTGATTCTTGGGAGAGACTCCATTCTAAGCATCAAGGTGGGGGAGAATTGGAGAATTTCGAGAAGGAGGGGAGTGGGGGTTGCTAATGCATCACAGACTAGCAGAGAGCTTTGGGGGCACTGGCACGATCCCATTTGAGGAAAGCTAAAACTGCAACTGGGGCTGGTATGCTTCTGCAAAAAGTGTTTGCTACAAAAACTGGACCCATGGGGATGCTGTGGTCTGAATGTGTCCCCCAAAATTTATATGTTAAAATCTAACCCCCCAAGGTAATGGTATTACGTGGGACCTTTGGGAGGTAATGAGGTCACAAGGGTGGGGCCCTTGTGGATGGGATTAGTGCCCATTTAAAGGACCCCAGAGTGACTCGTCACCCCTTCCACCTGGTGAGGGTGAAGCTAGAAGGCACCATCCATGAACCACAAAATAGGCCCTTTCCAGGCACTGAATCCGACTTGGTCGGCCTCCAGAACTGAGAAATACATTTCTGTTGTTTCAAGGGCGCCCAGTTTCTAGGATTTTGCTGCAGCAGCCCGAATGGAGTAAGAGTGAGGGACAACTGCTTCCCTCTCACCAGGCTGCAGGTGGGGATGGTATCTTGGCCAGGTAAGGGAAAGCCTGAGGTCAAGGTCAGCCAGTGTATTTCCCATCTCACGCAGCCCCATTGCTGGGACCAAGGAGGGACCTGGGAAATAGGCATTGACAGCCTTGCCCAAGTGGTTCCAGGTGGCTCCACTCAGACCCACTTCTTCAGCAGCTCAACCTGTGGTCAAGTAATCTTAGGAAGCCCAGGACCCGTAGGGCACAGGCCAGCAGGGTGCTCACCTGTCCTCCTTCTCTGCAGTTCCTGATAGCCTCCTCGTGAAGGTGCTGAGCCAGCGCCTGGACCAGCAGGACTGCATTCAGAGAGGCTGGGTGCTGCACGGCTTCCCGAGGGACCTGGACCAGGCACACCTGCTGAATAGCCTGGGCTACAATCCCAACAGGTGAGCTGCCCCAGCCAAGTCCGCAGCCCATTATTCCAAATGAACCCCTGGGCACCCTCCCTCCAGGGCTCAGCTGAAGGATCCAGGTTACACCAGCCTTCACGTGTTCCTGAAGTGGATCATCTCTTTTCACCCCATTCCCACCCACCCCATCTGCCCAGTGGACTAGGAGTTGGGCTTGGGTTCAAATCCTGGCTTTCACTCTCCGTGCTGGACCTGAACTTCCTCATCTGTAAAACAGTAATAAATACCCGTCTTGCCTTCCATGGGGGAATTGTTATACAAATCAACAGATGTTTTCTTCTGCTCTTTTTAGAGTTTGATTTTTACATTTAAACCTTTGATGCAGCTGGTATTTATTCTGATGTGAGTATGCAGTATGAGTCGCCTTTATGTTCCCCAAATGGTTAACCATTTGTTCCGAGTGTTGAGTATCGTTGGATGTTCTCTCTTTCGTCTACTAGTTTGAACTCGAGAGCTCATCACGATTGTATGTATTGTGGAGAGCAATGAAGCCCACCCAAGTGAAAGCAAGCAAAGGCTATTTAGTCTGAGATTGCAACAGCAAGGGGTCAGCCACTATTGCTTGGCGTTTCAGCAGAGACTCACAGGCAGGCAGTGTAGGTGAAAACGTTCTCCTGGAAGGTGGGAAAGTCTTCAGTTCTACCGTGCCCCAGTTGGTGGCTGTTGGCTTGGGGGAGCTGGGTGGGCTAGAGGCAGGGCATCCTACATGATTGCTTAAGGGAACACGTTTGGCTTTCTCTGGTTGGTGGTACTTTGCAAATGCTGGCAAAAATGAGGGAAGCGGTCAATTCCTGATCAAGTCCTGGCCCTTTGGGGCTGATTGCTGCAGATGTTGTGGTCTGACTCCCTGGGCAGCTTGCTGCAGGTTGCGGGTTTCACGTAATTTATTTATTTTACTTTAGGTGCATACTATATCTGGCATTTCTCCCCATGTTATCCCTCCCCACCCCCCGCTGTCTCTCCCCTACCCCCCTCAACTGCCACCTCTGTATGATGCTCCTCTCCCTGAGTCCACGTGTTCTCATTGTTCAACACCCACCTATGAGTGAGAACATGTGTTTGGCCTTCTGTTCTTGTGTCAATTTGCTGAGAATGATGGTTACACATCTATTTTTATATATGGTCCAACCATCATCAAACGGCATGTTTAGTCTCTCAATATACTGGGGCTGTTTCTGAACTTTCTCTTGCCTGAGTGTCTATTTCTGCAGTAGTACCGCTCTGTTTACTCCAGTTTTGTCATATACTGTATTTCAATAGTCACTGCAGGACAAGGCCCTCTCATTACTCTTTTTTACTGTCTATTTTATATATTTATTATTCCAAATGAACCCTATAATTTTATGATGTACAAAAAGAAACTGCCATTGAAATTTTAGCTGGAATTGCCTTATTTTTTCAAATTGGCCTGTGATATGGTTTGGCTGTGTGTCCCCATCCAAATCTTATCTTGAACTGTAAACCCCACATGTTAGCGAGGGACCTGGCGGGAGGTGATTGGATCATGGGGGCAGTTTCCCTCGTGCTGTTCTCATGACAGTGACTGCGTTCTCACGAGATCTGATGGTTTTAAAGTGCGGCCCCACCCCACTTGCTCTCTCTCTCCCCCACTGTCGTGTAATACGTGCTTTGCTTCCCCTTTACTTTCTGCCATGATTGTAAGTTTCTTGAGGCCTCCGTAGCCATGAGGAACTGTGAATCAATTAACCTCTTTCCTTTATAAATTACCTAGTCTCAAGTAGTTCTTCACAGCAGTGTGAAACCGACTAATACCATCCCTTCCAGTTTGACGTGGCTGTATCCCATCTTTCCTTCCCAGTGAAAATATCAACACTTCCTTGGAGCTCACACTTCTTATTTTATTTCTAGGTATATTTTCTGTCGTTCTTCTTACAGGTATTATAATAAGGTCTTTTCCTTCCATGTTTTCTAAATGGGTTTTTCAAGAGTATAGAAAAGACAGTGATTTTGGCTTACTTCTATACTCCCAGCCACCTTCCCAAACCCTCTTCCTGTTTCGGATAGTTTTTCAGTTGATTCTCTTGGGCTTTTCAGGTAGATGATCATGTCACCTACAAATACCCATCCTTTTGCCTCTTCCTTTTCCGTATTTATACTTTTCATTTTACTCTTGTTGGGCGGTACTTTCGGAACAGGGTCAGATCGACAGGGTGATTTTTTTCCTGACCTTAAGGTGCTGCTGGAACTGCTGCCATTAAGGCGCTACTGGCTTTTGGTTTGAAGCGCATACAATTTGTATAAAGTTAAAGAAGTATAGCTCCATGATTTAAAATCTCTGGTTAATGTTGAATTGTGTCAAGAGCTTTTCAGCACCTTTTAGGAAAAATGTTTCTTCTCTTTTTGACATATTGATATAATAAGTTATGTTAATAATAGTAAGCCAGTCTTTTGGTCCTGTAATAACTGATTTGGTCATGGTATATTATTCTTTCTTGGTATATTATTCTACTGATTGTGGCAGGTAGAATTTTGACCCTTATGACTTTTGCCCCCCTGCTATCTTGCCTCTGAATGTTATATATTACATGACAAAACGGACTTTGCAGGTATACTTATGATTACTGATCAGTTGACCTTAAAATGGAAAAGTCATCCCAGACTATCTGGGTGGGCCCAAAATAATCACACAAACCCTTAAAAGCAGAGTTCCCTCCTGACTGAGGGCAGAATAGGAAGTCAGAGAGATTTCTAAGCATGACACAGCATTGCTGGCTCAAAGACAGGGGCCATGGAAAATGTGAGAAGACATGAATTCGACCAACAAACAGTGAGCCCCAGGTGAGAACTACAGTTCTAGCTGATACCTTGACCTAAGCCCAGTCAGACTCATACCAGATTTCTGACCTACAAAAACTGCTAGATAATAAATTTGAGTTTCTTTCTTTCTTTCTTTCTTTCTTTCTTTCTTTCTTTCTTTCTTTTTTTTTTAAGAGAGAATATCACTCTGTCCCCCAGGCTGGAGTGCAGTGGCATGATCTCTGCTCATTGCAACCTCTGCTTCCAGGTTCAAGTGATTCTCCTGCCTCAGGCTCCTGAGTAGCTGGGATTAAAAGTATGTGTTACCACACATGGCTAATTTTTGTATTTTTAGTAGAGACGAGGTTTCACCATTTTGGCCAGACTGGTCTCAAACTCTTGACCTCAGGTGATCCACCCACCTTGACCTCCCAAAGTGCTAGGGTTACAGGCATGAGCCACCATACCCAGCCAAATTTGAACATCTTTAAGCAGCTAAGTTTATCATGTTAATGACAGCACAAGGATTATATTGGCTACAATTTTATTTAGTTTTTTTGCATTAATATGCATATATAATACAGATTAAAATTTTGTAACTTTCTTGTGTTTTGTCAGACTTTAGTATATGATAATTTCATAGATTTTCTTTCTTTCTCCATATCTGAGAGAGTTTAAAACTCCAGCAGTAACTATTTTTTGGATCTGGCACTTTGGGGCAGAGGTAGCTTGTTAACAATTCGATTGATTTCGTTCATGGTGTTTGATCAATTTGAATTTCTCTCTTTTCTTGTGCAATTGGTCTCTTCCTAGAAAATCATCCCTTTCCCCTGTCTTTAAATATATTAACATAATTTGAATATCTTGTGCCATTAATTTTTATTGTGTTTCCTGCATTTTTTGCTTTATGTGTTTTGGTGCTATGTTATTTAGTACATAAAGGTTTCTGTCAGCTGTGTGTTCATTGTGACATGTATTATTGATGACAGTGACCGTCAGTGACAGACACTTAATTATCTACCCCAAAATTCATTCTAGCTTTCCTCCTCAATAACAAAAGATCAATTTTCAGAGGAGTACATTGGTATCTGAAAATAAAAGGTCCCATTTTCCAGTCTTCTTTACAGCTCTATGGAGCCACAACATTAAGTTCCGGCCAATGAGATATAAGCATACAGTTGTGTGGTGCTTTGAGAATCTAACTCAGCTGGAAGGTGTTGGCTTTTGTCTGTTTTGCCTTTCCTTTCTTCTTGATTTTCCTGAAGTTAATAATCATCTTGCTTTTCTACTTGCCTAGTTTTCTTTGTACCTATTAGTTAACTATTTCCATATCTCCTTACAGCCTTTCAGAACAATTTCCCACAAAGTCCATCATATTATGTAATCCATCAGCTTCAGGTTTGTTTGTTTTTTTTCCTTGATCACTCCCATTCCTCTCCTGTTTGGACTGTTTTTTTCCTAGCCTTACTGCATAGTGGATCATCAGTGACTTTTCTTTACTATAATCAGAGAAATTCCCCTTGGCTTTCTTTTGAGTTGGAGTCTCTGTTTCCTGGGTCACTCATCTTCCTTTTATATACCCCCTTGATTTGACAAAGCATAACCTCTAGTTGTTTCTCAAGTTAAAAAGATGGTTTAAAAGCAGTAGGCCATCACACCTGCAGCACACATGTTCTAAATTGAAGAAGTCATCCTTTATGCCTGTATACAACAATCATTTTGGGATTGCCATTCACTGCTACACTGAAGATTTTCTTTACCCCTCTCCCATATTAGATATTTTATTTCTGTATCACACGACTTCCTTTTTCTTGGCTTTCTACCTTGTTTTGGTTGAACACATCTATCAGTAACTTCCTGAGAAAGGGTGTATGGGAGGTAAATTTTGGGGAGCCCTACATATCTGAAAGTCTCTGCCTTCATACTTGTTGGATAGATTGGCTGGTTGAGAAATTATACACTGGAAATGATTTTCCCTTAGAATTTTGAATTTCCAGTGTTGCTAAGAAGTCCAATGCCAATTTGATCCTGATCCTTCGTAGGTGACTTTTTTCTTTCTGTGAAAGTTTGTAGGCTCTTCCCTTTGTCTCCAGGGTTCTGTGAAATTTCATTATATCCTTGGTATGGGTCAAATTTACTCCACTGTACCAGAAATTAATCTGGAAATCTGTGTTCTTCAGTTGTGGGACATTTTCTTGAATTACTTTGTTAATTATTTT